CCTGAGTTCTTATAATCAGTACTATTCTCTTTGCTGCTTTTACTTTCATGTTGGCTTCCTTCTGATTTTATTTTTTATGTTTAGCCTTCAGGTTGCATTTTAACAATTAATTTATAATAAACTCTTAATAAAGATTTATAATAAACTTTTAATAGTTATCCGTTTCATTTTGATCTCTGCCACCGTTTCCCTCATTTTCACAGTTCCACTTGTCATGAGGCCTATTTGGTGCAAGGAGAACCAGGGTAAATACATTGTGATTCCTTTTCCTTGGTTAGAACAAAACTAATACTAGCTGAGACATCACAGTATTTAGAATATGCACTTTTGTCCCTTTCTCTATTGTTATAAATAAGATTCTTCAGCACAGATCAACTCTGTAGCCAAGACACTCATCTCCAGAACAAAACGCTTAGCTGACGAACAACACCTAAAACCCGAACTACACACTCTCACCAATGTACTAACATCCAATGGATTCCATAGAAATAAGATTACAAACCTAATCCAAAAAGAAACCCCCACTAAAATCCAAGACAAAGAACAAGAAAAAGGCAAAGCCCTCCTCCCATACATAAAAGGCACCACAGACAGAATCAGTAAGATCCTCCATAAACACAACATCAAAACAGCATTCTGCACAAACAGAAAAATATCCACCATCCTTAGAAACCCCAAAGATAACATTGAATTAGAAAATCAAGGAGTATACGAAATCCCATGCACCACTTGTCCCACCACATACATTGGACAAACCAACAGAAGAATAAGTGCACGCATTGAAGAACATAAGAACTCAATCAAAAAAGAGGAACCAACATCTTCCCTGGTCCAACACCTTAAAGCCACAGGACATGAAATTGACTTTTAAAATACCAGAACCATTGCCAAAAGTGAACATTTTAATAACAGAATAATCAGAGAAGCCATCGAGATAGAAAAACGCCCACACAGCATGAACAAGCGAGATGATACCTCCCGCCTACCAGCCATTTGGAAACCCGCCCTTATTGACAAACGACTCCCTAACACAAAAAATGATACCAGACCCACACTCACAAAAACCACACAGGATGTCACCACCACACCTCCACGCAAAAAACAAACCCAAAGCCACACCGATGACGAGGCATGACCACAAACCAGAAGCCAGACCACAGCTGCATCATTAGCCACTTTAAACCCCTCCAATCCATACATGAAGCAAACTGACACCCTCCATGAAGAGGAAGCAGGACCACGAACGCGAAGCCAGAAAATAGCAAGGCAGCCCAAAATCTCAAACCCTTCTGCAACTCAGACTAACCTGAGCACAACCAAACAGAACACTCCCCCAGCCAATCAGAGCACAGCCAAGCCCCTAACCATTCAGAACACACCTCCACCAATCAGAACACAGCCAAGCTCCTACCCAATCAGTTCATACCCCCACTGGCAGTTAAAAGGAATAAACAGCTAAGACCACACATTGCTGCTCAAAGCACAAAGCTGAAAGCACCAGCCTGAAGATGACGAATGGGACTTCGTCGAAACGTCGCCAAGACACTTCCAATTTTACGTGGGAGAAAACCCGAACAACCAAAGACCTATATACAAATACCCGCGAAAACCTCAGAAAAAAAAAAGTTAATACATATGTATATTTAAAAAGTTCAATAAATAAGTTCAGATCCATATAAAAAATGGGCTCTCTTGATTTAATTTATGCAATTTTGGATTCTGCAGATTGTCAACCACTGCTTCGCCATATCAATCAATTACTCAGAGATACTAACAGTTTGTCTACCACCATCCCTGTGTACCTCATACACTCCATCCTAAAGCTGGAGGAAGGAATATTATATTCCTGCTTTGGATTGAGTTATATAACCACAGTGGGAGAAGGCAGGGAAGCAAAACATAAACAAATTGTTTTGGATTTGCTAGTTAATAATCAGGATCTCTCTGGCAGGTCATCTTGGCCATGTCTTAGTTGAGCAGCATGAATAAATGGAAGGTTCTATTGTTTAAGGAATTCATGTAAATGCTGACTTGATCTCTACTGACAATTCAGACAATTACTGAGTGAAGTCAAGGGTGACATTTTGAAATAAATAAACAAGATGAGTCATTACGATGTTAAAAACAAACTACATCTCTCTCTCTGAAAGGACATTTACCAGGCAAAAAAGGGATTGAAGTAACCATTCATCTAAAACTGTATATGTCTGTTTTAATGTGCTACATACAATTGCTGTGTAATTAACTGACATCAGTGTCCATTTGGTGTTACTCTCCCTTTCTTAGTCTCGATAGAATTAAAAAAAAAGATGAAAATACATTCCATCAAGCACTTCTTTTATTGGTCCTTTTCTTGTAATGGTTTTCTATGAAAAGTCATTATTGTATTTTTCCAAGTCCGCTTCTCTTAAAGTACATTACAGTATGTCTGTTCTGACATCTGGTACACTATAAATAAAAAGGGCAAGGAAAACCAAACAACTTAATTTTCCTTGGATATCTTCTGAGAATCAAGCTATTTCCTTTTGGGATAAACAAAGTTATACAGAACGCAAAAAAAAAAGAATAATAATAATGATTTTAAAAGATTGAACTAAGGAAAAAAAGGGGAATATAGGTAAATTCCTTTTCCCTCTGTTTGCTTCCAATATGCAGTGATTCACTCCATTTTCTTCTGCCAAATTCAAATGCCTTAATATTGATTCATTAATTTTGCTATTTATATTCCTTGCTTCAATATATTGTCTATTTAGAATTCACCAGAAAAGATTTTGGTTTAGGCATTGTTTGCATACAAAAGTGCATAGACATTCATACCCCCAGTTTATGCACCTCTAACATCATCAAAAGGATTTCCTACTGTAGGAAAGCCCCCCTCTCCATAATAAAATATTCTTTATTCTTAATATTAAGAAGAGGCAGAATATTATATTTCCCCTAAAGGAGAAGAGGAGAAACATCTTCTTAAAGGCAGAAAGCAGCCCCAGTCTTCCTGCCATAGGAAAACAGCCTCAAGCAGAAGCCTGAAGGGGTTAGTCTTTAGGAATTGAAATTTTGTATCCATTCACACTATTCATAAACAAAGAGTAGCCAGAAACTCCTAATAAGCAACACACTAGGCCAGCAGTAGGCAACCGAGGTTGCCTACCCATGCACTAGGCAAAGAGCCCGAAACTAACAAGATTAGCTCAGACAAACAAAACACCTAGGATTTACATTTCCCCTTTTTGCCAGTAGAGCCAATCATGACTCCTACATGACCCCAAAGGATTCTGGTAACAGCCATTAAAATATTACAGGGCATATTCTTACACAGGAACCGGCATCTCAATCACAAAGCCCCAAAGAATATATAAAAGCCTATCTGCTCTCAACCTCATTTTGTCAGTCATCCCAGAAACATGCTGCTGTCAGTGTGATTTCTGGCTATCAAATAAACAGAGACCTCCTTTCCAAAATTGCCTCTATTTTGTTTCAGCATCTTTCTCTCGGCTTGGAACTGAACCTGATTTTACTTCCAACGCTACTCAGACATTACACAATCAAGTCTATAATTATATTAAAGAATCAACTGCATCCAGTTTTGGTCACCGCGATGTAAAAAAGATGTTGAGACTCTAGAAAGAGTATAAAGAGCAACAAAGATGATCAGGGGACTGGAGGCTAAAACATATAAGAAACGGTTACTGGAATTGGGCATGTCTAAACTAATGAAGAGAAGGACGAGGGGTGACATGATAGCAATGTTCCCATATCTCAGGGGCTGCCACAAAGAGGGAGTCAAGCTATTCTCCAAAGCACCTGAAGGCAGGACAAAAAGCAATGGATGGAAATTAAGAAAGAAAGAAAGAAGCAACCTAGAACTAAGGACAAATTTTCTAACTGTTAGAACAATTAATCAGTGGAACATCCTGCCTCCAGAAGCTGTGAATGCTCCAACACTGGAAGTTTTTAAGAAGAGACTGGACAGCCATTTGTCTGAAATGGTATAAGTTCTCCTGCTTTAGCAGGGGGTGGACTAGATGACCTCCAAGATCCCTTCCAACTTATCATCATCATCATCATCATTATTATTATCATTATTATCATTATTATTATTATTACCATACAACTTTATCTTATTCCTTTTTAATGCTGAAGCATTTCATCGAACATTCCATTTATTCTCTTGCATGCTTACTTGTACTATAAACCACTCATTTCATTCCAGACTTCAACTTTTTTATTGGTGCAAAATATTCCATAGTTCACACCTATTTACTTTGTTTCATGCTTTCTTTAGAACAACACAGTATATGATTTCTAGTTGTATAGAAGCAGATTTATAGACAGACTTCCTTCCAAGTTAAGAAATAACTTTAATTGGTAAGCAAAACACTATTTTATCTTTCTTTCTTTAAATTGCTGCCTTGTAATATTTATCATTTAATAAATTATGTATTTGTAATCAAGAAGCCAAAGGCAGCAGGATTTCTTCATCTTCCTCAAAAGATACGAACATGTTAAATGGTTGAAAAGGCTCCCGAGCGAAGCAGGAAAGTAACAGAAAAAGTTATGTGTTGCTTACTGAATGGGAAGGTTCTAGAAAAGTTTAAAATTTTCTATTCAGCAACAGGCTCACTGAGCATGTGCAAGAAAACATGAGTACGTGCCTGAAACTAAGTAGAGAATGTCCACATGTAGAGAACAAAAGAATACCCATATATGGTAAGGTAGGAGGTAAGATAGAATAATTGTGTCGTCTGATAGGTTTGTGACCTGCCACGTCAGGAATAGCTGACGTAGGTATAGGAGGAGATAGGGAGGGGTATAACTGCTGTTACGCTTCTGTAGGAGGTGTGGCTTTTCCCTGCAACTCTTGGGAGTGCATGGTTAAGTTTCACCACGCTTTGCAAACCGTTTTCTTTTACTAAACTCAACTTTGATAATAAAAGAAACTTTATTCTGCTACTCCGAACCTCGTCTCTGAATTTCTTTCAAGGAATTCTACAAACACTTACCATTTTAAAAACTCTTTCTAAGGTAAGGATGTACAAATTAAAGAGACACAAAACTGGAAAACAAAATTAGGAGATTTCTGAGACTATATGAAAGACCTTGTACACTGACATTATAATAAAGCTTTTAGATCTTCTAAGCAACAACTTTATGCTTTCTTTATACTTCACACAGAATACTTTTGAACTTATAAAGCAAGGATATTCCAAGCAAGAAAAGCAAGATAAAATACATATTAGTTTCTTAAATGACATTGCTATAACAAAACAGTATTATTTCTACTAGTAAGGATGCTTAGAGTTAAAAAAATTCATCTTTATAGTATTTAATCAAAAGTTATAGAGAAAGACATTAATAATTTTAAATACATTATAATTCTTTTGAAAGCTGTATGTGAAATATTATTTCAAGCCAACTCTCTTCAGGACCTAATAGGCACGATTTATCTATCAGAATAAGAAAGCTTCTGACCTATATACCTATGCAATTGAGTATTAGAAAACATATACAGCATTTTTTTTTGCTTCAATATTAACTATTTTTTTCAACTTTATAATAAGGCTTATTTAGATGTTTTTATGTAGGTGATATAATGGATACATAATTTTCCCAATTGTGTCAGCTTTGGGCTGCCAGTCCTTTTAATGACAAAATTTGAAAATCCACCCTGGTTTATAGGTCATAGACAATATTATTCATGATTATCTATCCTTGTATAATAATATTAGCTTTGATATTTCATATATAATCAGAAAAAAACTGGAACTGGCAATACTGGTTTTGTCTGATGTGTAAAGGCTTTTAATATGGCATGCCTGACCATTTTGAAGCAAATTTTGAGATTGATATTACCAAATTTCTGAAATTTTTAGAGAACTCTCAAAGAAAGCTTGATCTTTTCCTCAAATTATCTGAGAAATAAAGCTTTACAAAGTTACTTGACAATGACCTCTGCTGTCCATCATGATTTTGGTCTTTTAAGCTTCACACATAATGTAAGACTTGTAAGAAAAGATAAAAAAATGTGTAAACTAGATTACTAGCCTTAATCATATTGCCACATTCCCCACTAACAGTAAAGATGGTAACCATCATTTTGACATATTGTGGGCAGAATACCACAATCATAATCAAAGTTCAGTTCATAAGCATGTTCATCATATTTTATGCAGCTAGGATTGCCAATTTAAAGACTAACTTGTAGGCCAATATTGTTGTCTACATTTTGCCAACTCGGAGAGATATGCAAACCGTGAGGATACTGACCTTTCTATTTTATGAAAATTTAATCATAAAACCACTCAACCGTACTACTTCTGGGGGGGGGGATCCACATTTTTATTGATTAGGATTTTGCCTTTTAATGTCAAGTTTTCAAGTTGGCTTACAAAGAAAAATATGGCAAACTTTAAAAATCAAAAAATGAATCCTGATAATCATCAGTGGAAAAAATATATTAAAATTTTTTGTCAGTGACACACAAAATAAACCTAAGCTTGGTACAGTATTAAGACTTTAATAGTAAAAAAAGAACTGAATAAACTAAGAGGTTATTTTACATTACCTCCTTAATTGTATTTCTTCATTTACTGATTTTATTTAACAGACTATTGATTACAGAGTTCTCTTTCTGTTCCAAGAAGCAATGAAGGGAGCTTTAAACTGAAAAATGTCAAGCAGGATCACATAAGATAAACTGATCCCAGTTGGATTTAAATCTGTTTTGGGCTTTAAAAGCCAATGGAAGAACTTGGATTTCTGTGATCTCAGCTGCTGAACTGAAGAATGTCTGTATAATAGATAAATAGAATTTATAGTCCAAGTTAGCATAGATTGTGTAAGCTTTTTAAATAAAGCTTCATGTACTGACTTGCTCTGAGCAAAATTCAAACTACTTACTTTTCATGTTTTTTCCCAGTGGCAAGACTTGGTTTTAATGGATAAGTGTTAAACTGAAAGTAAAAGAGAGAAAATGGAATTCAGAGCATATAGAGTACTACATTCTATGCTTTTAAAGTTTAATACAAAAAGAAACCAAGCTTTCAAAATCCTACATCTTTAGGAAAAGAAACTCACACCTCTAGGTTTTTTTAGTGAAGCTTGTGTCTTATTCAAAAAGTATTTTTCTTTCTGTAATTATTTTTATCATTGTACCGATTCCAAAATGATTATCTCAGCCATCATAAGATTTTGCTATACAAGCTTTAAAACCAAAAGCATTCTGAATGCTCCTGGGCAGTCTAAAAAGTAACTGTTGAATCTCACAGACAAAGGCTCTCCATTTGTGTCTGAGGGCAAATCACATTCCACAATACCAATTTGACAGCCTTCAGGGACTGGATTTGTAAATGAAAGGACAGTGAAGGAGAATTTTTAGGTGTTCTTTTGGACTGGAAATCAACATGCAGTCCCACTGAAGCACAAAACCTTATATGGACTTATGCAAATATACATGTGATTTGATACAGCAACGAAGTATTTGATTGGTTATAGCACATTCTGTCTTTAGTGATGTCAATGATATAGTTAGAGTAGAACTACTAGGTCAGGGGTTCTCAACCTTGGCAACTTTAAGACTTGTGGACTTCAACTCCCGGAATTCCTCAGCCAGCACTGGCTGAGGAATTCCGGGAGTTGAAGTCCACAAGTCTTAAAGTTGCCAAGGTTGAGAACCCCTGTACTAGGTAATGGAGTAGTACTGTGAAAACAGTGGTAGTTTTGAGATAACAGACCCAGGACCTCGTTCCTTAGCCTTCTAAATGTTTTGTGGCTGAGCTGACTGGGAAAGTTTACTTGGAGAAGAGGTAATTTACTTGTCCATGTTTGCTTTCAGAAGTCCATGAAAAAATTCATCACATACTCATGTAAGTCTGTATCTGAAAATACCTTAAAGGTATGGGAATGGAAAAAAGGTACCTGGTTAAGTGGGTCTTTATATTAATTTATTATTTATAATAATTAGCTCTACTTTTGATTAAAATAATCCTAACAGGACCTTCTGTTCACATTAGTGCACACAATCTGGTTTTGAATAATGGAAAGGGAATCCTCCCTCCCATATATGGATACGCATTCACATGAGCATACTATCACCGTACTTGATGTTATTAGTAATTTGGGTTCTGATTCTGCAGAACAAAATGTGACTAATACATACACAAGAAAAGTCAGGAGCCGTGTTGAGTTTGCCGATTTATGTGCCTTTTAAATGAGCTGAATATCACCTCTACAGTTTTACACCTAGTTTATATATTTCCTTTATGTTGCTGCTTTGTTGATGTTCTGTGCAACTTCTGGGCACTTATGCTACATTTTGTTTTTACAAAGCAATAGCAACCAGAATGCTAAAAAGTACTAAAAGTTAATACAGCTGTGATTTAAAAAGATAATACAGTATTTACTTACTGAAGTTTGTTATTTTCTTTATTGTGGCAATTCTGGCTTGGACTAGTTGATGGATACCTTGTGGTTTATTACAGGCTGAACTTATTCCTGAGGATCAGGAGACGAAGGTGGAAAAAATGAATTAGAGATATTAGAAAAGCATTTAAAAGTTCCTACTCAGAGTATAAGTACTTCAAGGTGATTGTCAGATTTTTATTACTAGCTATATCTTTGCTTTACAAAGAATGCATATATTGATTTGAGGGGACAATAAATGGGGATCATTATAACTTTATAACATTAGCATAGATCTAAAAAAATAGAGAACTATTGAATTTATTCTAAATTCTTTGGGAAATAGAAAAGCTGGTGGATTAGAAGGTCTTGATGTTAAAGTTTCTCTATTAGAACTTACTTGACAATGGGTAAAAAAACAAAGAGATTACAAACATCAAAGAGCAGCTGTCTTCCTTCAGTTTCTACTGTGGCAATTGTCTACTCCCCTGTCACATTATTTAATTGAGCAGAAGCAAGTGCTGAAAATTGCTGGGTATCTATGTGAAAGCCAAATGACAAAATCTGTAATTTATTTTTTGAAGAAAAATACTTAATTTTGTTGACCTAGGCTTTCTGTTACATCTTCAGGGCCAATTACTTTTATATAGGAAGGTTCTCTCTCTCTCTCTCTCTCTCTCTCTCTCTCTCTCTCTCTCTCTCTCTCTCCCTCCCTCCCTCCCTCCCTCCCTCCCTCCCTCCTTCTCTCTCTCTCTCTCTCTCTCTCTCTCTCTCTCTCTCTCTCTCTCTCTGTGTGTGTGTGTGTGTGTGTGTGTATGTATGTGTATGTATGCATGTATGCATATCCTAAATAGTTATATTTGCTCTCCTCACACAACCAGTTCAGTTAACACACTGAATTGAAAGTTTGGAATTCAACAGAATTCATTTTTGTGTAGATGTACTCAGTGTTTGTTTTTTAATTAAAGTCTTATCAATGTTACTAGACAAGTTCTGGACATACACGTTTTCTGATTAAATCATTTCATATTTAGCAATGCTACAGTTTGACATAGATTCCCTCTATGATGTGACCCATGTGTGTTTTGGAAATAAAGCTAGAATTGTCTTTGGCTGACCATGAACTGTATCTAAAAACAGATTTACTTTTTGTGAGCCTATTGGAAGGCTGGCAGAGCAAATTGGATCAAGGTCCGTAATTCTGTCTACTTAGCTATACAGTTGAGTACAGGCCAGAGAAGGAAATTGAATAATCAAGTTGACTTTTCCAATCCCAGAAAACATCTCACTCTTCAATTTTCCCACAAGAGCCAACGTTTATGAGGAAGGAAAATCATATAGTCATTCTAACCTTGACTCTAATAATTCCTTCCTTAACATTACTGTATATTTTGCTGCCTTTTAGCTCATAATGGAGAAAGCCAAGAAAGAGCATTAGAAATGTGAGCCATTTCTATGATAAACCTATATCAAGAAAATCCCCTATTGGGTTGCAGTGCTATAGACTTTTAGCAATAACTTGGGTTTACTTCTGAATAATCAACTTGAGAATTGCAAAGTAAGCCTCATACAGAAAAAAAGCACCAAGCATCATGAAAGAGAATATTTGGAGATATGTAATATTTTGAAAATTGTGCATTTACCATGATATTCAGTGAACTTGGTGTCAGGGCTGATTTTTAGCATCGAGAAATCTAGGCTACAAAGGCCATTGGGCTTTCTGGCTGTTTTTATTAACTCTCTGTATGTTGGAAAACTAATATATAAGAGATGCCAGATATTCAAGCTGGCTTTAGAAAAGGCCAAAGTACATGAGATATTATTGTTGATGCAGGCTGGATAACTGAGAAAGCCAAAGAATACCAAAGAAGTCAGGGTGTACATCATCAAACAACTTTTTTATATATAAAACAGAGATAAAAACCAACAAAACATCTGGTCCTGCCCTGTTCTTTAACATTTGCTTCCATAGAGTATTATGGGGGACACCATGGCTTACCTTATTCTCAAGTCAGTATGTACATCACCATTTATAGAAAAGTGTTCAATCAGGTCAAGCTGTGGAAAATTCTCAGGACAATGGGAATCCCAGAACATCTCATTATCCTCATGAAAAACTTATATACAGGCAGGAAGCCACAGTTTGGACAAAACATTGCAAAATAGGCTGATTCCTGGTTAGCAAAGGAATGGGACAAGACTGCATATTCTCAACTATATGATGAATAAATAGGATATATATTAAGGAAATCCTATATTAAGGATTGGAAAAAGATGAGCATAGTTTTAAAATTAGAAGAAACATTAATCTGTGCTGTGCTGATGATACTACCCTGACAGCCAAAAGTGTTAAGGATTTGCAAGCCCTGGTACAGTAATAAACATAAAAGAGCACATAAAAAATGGACCAAAATTAATATAAAGAAGACCAAATTAATGGCAACAGGTACAACAATCAACCTTAGAATTGACAGTGATTGAAGAGATGGAAAGCTTCTGCCTTTAGAATCAACCATCAACAGTAAGGAAATGAGCAATCAAGAAATATGCCACTAACTACTGCTTGGTAAAGCGGCTATGAAGGGATTGGAAAAGACATTCAAAGAAAAGAATAAACTCTAAGAAAACAACTTTTCACCCTCATCATGACAAGTATAAACAATTTCACAATCTTGTCAGTTCCTCTTAATTAATAGCTATAAAGCTCTTCATCCCATAACTCATCTGTTAATTACAGTATAGGCAAATCCAGTAAGTAGTGTATTCTCCAACCCAGGTATCAGCGAAAAGTTGAAACAGTGCCCTTAAATATCAAATTAATTAACATTTATAAAACTCAACTTTACACACATTGACCTTCAGCTGTGAGAAGTCCATTTAGAAACATAAATATCCTACTATGAACAAAAGAATAAAATTTAACATGAACAAGTTCAGAAATATCCCTTACTATAAGTGGAAGGACAATAGGTAGAAAGAAAATTTAACTGCTATCAGATTAGAGTACATAAAGTAACTCTGGGGGAAAGGCTTAAATTCCATGTGTTGGGAGGAACTCCCCCATTCGGTTCTTCCAGCTGGGATTCCCCTTGACGGCGCGGTGCGGAAGAAATAGACCGTGAAGCCAGCTGCCGGAAAGAGAGGTTTAATCACGAGGATCAAAGTTGAGTGACAATTCAGCTCGAGTCCCCGGCTAGCTAGACAGAATGATCTTTAAACAGTGGTTTTATACCTTTTTGTGGTTTCCAAATTTGTCATTTCTGATTGGTGAGTTTGAATCTGCCTTTTCTGATTTGCTGGTCAGTGACTATTGTTGGTTAAATTTCTTTGCTAATCCTGCCTGAAAGGTGTTAATTACTTTATTGTTGTGTTCTGATTGTTGCTAGCTGGTTCCTCATTGTGTGTGTCAAGTGTTTGCCATTTAGCCTCAGGCTGCTGTTGACCCAGTTTAGTTGGGGTGTTCCTAGATTATTTCTTTGTTGGGGTGGGGAGGGGGTGTCCAGCTCTCATCAATTGTTAAGCAAATCCAATACGCAAGATTTTTTTCCTGTACAGATACCAGCAAACTCTAAAAGAACCACCCACATATCCCATTTTAATCCTGATTGAATAAACTATGTGTGCAAATCAATCTTGCTTTTAATCCATTCAAGTGATTGTTGATCCTTGTTTCAAATTTCTTCAGTATTTTAAAAAGCCTCTTTTGTAAGTCCAGCAACAAAAACTATTCTAATTGCTCTCTGGGATTGTCATTTTTACTTCTTAATTTTTAAAGCCTCATCCAATGTTTTTCATAATTGATGACAAATTCTTCTTGAAATTGTCATTCTTATTGATCTTGGGTGGACTTTGCACCATATTATTTTCTGTAGCCTCTTCTGGAAACAGACTGTTCCCAAGAAAACAAAACATAGCTGACATTATTGATTCAAAGTCCCAGTGCACTTCCTCAAAAATATCTCTGAATGCCATTACAAGTTACTTATCTTGTTACGTCTCCGTTATCAAAAGCTGTTTTTCTTTCCCATGAAAATGCATTTCTCCTTTAATATTAATTTCAAAGTCTCAATATTCAAAACCTAATATTCTAGTGTTTTTTGAGTCCTTAATCCCTTATAAAACTTTAAAACTTCCTACAGCGAAAACCTTGTCTTCCTTTTTGCTTAAAGCTTATAAAGAGCTTTATCATTTTCTTATGTTAAGGAGGGTGTTTCCAGGATTTTTCAGCCTTGAAGGTGTCATTAAAGCAGTTAATAGGCAATTTCTGAAAGTAGTTAACAAGGAAAGTGTGAACTTAGTATCCTTTGACAGGATAAGAAGGCTATTGACAGCTTTCAATTTTAGTGTTGGAGAAGATTCCTGAGTATACCATGGACAGCCAAGAAAACAAATCAATGGATCACTGAACAAATCAATTCATAAGGTAGACTGTGGTGATAAATGCACATTGCATCATTTTGAAAACTTTCTCCTTGCTTCAGACCTCAATTTGTAATTCAATCAATCAAAATAAAGCTGGAAGAGACCTTGGAGGTCTTTTAGTACAAACCCCTGCTCAAGCAGAAGATTCTATAAGATAGGTGGTTGTCCAGTCTTTTCTTAAAAACTTCCAGTGATGAAGCACCCATAACTTCTAAGGCAAGCTGTTCCACTGGTTAATCACCCTTAGTGTTAGGAAGTTTCTCCTTAATTCCAGGTTGCTTCTCTCCTTGATTAGTTTCTATCCATTGTTTCTCATCTTTCCTTCTGATGCTTTGGAAAATAAGTTGACCTCCTCTTTCTTTTGGTAGCCCCTCAAATACTGGAATACTGCTATTGTGTCACCCCTATTCCCTTTTCTCTGGACCAGGGCTTTTCAACCAGTGGTACGGGTACCACCTGTGGTACATTGGCACCTGGCAGGTGGTACACGACCATCCTAGAAAAGTAGTAGCGGGGGAGGGGAATGAGCTGAACCAGTGGCAGCACCTCACAAGCCTGAGCGAGAGATGGCTGAAGCTGCAGGGCTGTCAGGGCTCAGCGGAAGCACCAGGATCAGTGCTTCTTCGGGGCTGTCAGGGCTCAATGGAAGCGCCAGGATCAGCACCAGGTTCCAACTGGAGCTCGGTGCTGATTCTGGTGCTTCTGCTGAGCCCAGAAGAAGTGCCAATCAGCTGGAATGTTGCAGCATCTCCAGAGTCTTGTGATTTACATTCAGATGCTTGGCAACTGATTCATATTTATGATGGTCACAGTGTCCGGGGGTCATGTGAAATGACCAAAACCTGCTGCAACAACCCAGCAGATGGCGGGAATAAAAACCAAACACCCCCCACACTGCACCCCTGCTGCCAATCCTCAACAGAAATGCTCACAACAATGAAAACCTCAGACAGGAGGAAGAGCGCGGCCGGGCAGGCAGGCAGGTGTCTTGCTTGGCTTTGGCTTGGGGGGCACTTTTTTCAGTGCCATTGTAACTTTGAACAGTCACTAAGCAAACTATTGTAAGTCGAGGACTACCTGTATTTTATCACTTTTTTCCTTTTTTTTTTGGCCATCAAATCTTTGACACCTTGTTAGGTGACTGGTGGTACTTGGATGTTGCCATATCCTAAAAGTGGTACAATGGATGAAAAGGTTGAAAAGCCCTGCTCTAGACTGACCATACCCATTTCCTGCAACCATTCATCTTAGTTGCTCTTCTTTGCAGTTTTTCCCAAAGTCTCAACATCTTTTTTGTAATGTGGTGACCAAAACTGAATGCAATGTTCCAGGTATGGTCTTACTAAGGCTTTATAATGCAATACTAATACTTCACATGATTTTGATTCTATACTTCTATTTATACAATCAAGGATTGTGTTAATTTTTTTGGCTGCTGTCACATACTGCTGGCTCATGTTTAAGTGATCATCCACTAAGACTCCAAGGTCCCTCTCACAGTTACTGTTTTTGAGCCAGGTTTCATTTAATCTATATTTGTACCTTTGTTTTTTCTTGTCTAGGTGTAAAACCTTGCCTTTTCCCATATTACATTTCATTTTGTTGGATAAGGCTTATTGTTCAAGTCTGTAAAGATCATTTTGGATCCTGAGCTTATCTTCTGGGGTATTGGCTATTCCTGCCAGCTTATTGTCATCTGCAAATTTGATGACTCCCCCTTCTATTTCCTTGTCTAAGTCATTTATGAAGATATTGAAGAGTACAAGTCAATGAAAAGAGTGTCAACTTTGAAAATAAGCATGGCTACAGCCATTTTTTCTACTACTCATTTTCTCTACTCATTTTCGGTTGACACATAGCACAGAGGGAGGGAGATTTACCAGGTGCTTCGCTAGATAAAACAGACTTTCTCCCATGGGAACCAAGGTCATTGGCTGCTCCCGGGACTGCAGGCTGGGCATTTCGTGAAAAGCCCATCAAGAAGTTGTATTGGGGAATGTAGTAGCTTGCATAGCTTTAGGGGTGGGATTTCTTAACTTTGTATTAGGGATTGTTACATGTCTATTCAGACTTGGTTTCACTTTTGATGTGCCGATACTTTGTACCAATGAATATCTTCTTTGAGGAACTTGCAAGCCTCAGAGTTCTGCTTTCTATTGGAACCATGACACAGAGTACTTGTGTCCATTGACTTGTGTGCTGGGCTACTACTACAAATCCTCTTGCAGAAAACTAAAATTGCTTCTCTTGCTCCTAATATCTAGTGATGTGTTGACTTTGGAGCAAACCTTTTATGTCTCCATGTTCAAATTTCTAACATATGTGCAACCCCCCTCTCTCAGAGTGATTTAGCTTTTCTCAGTTGAGTGCTCTTCAGCTGTGCTGGGACTGCCACTTCTAGAAATTCTGCTCCTGCACTCTAAGAAATAGGAGCACTGAGGCCCCAACCAACACTTCTCAAGGGACCAAATTGTAAAAGACTGAGGAGCCCTTAAAGTGACCTTGCAAATTGACAAATCACTAATTAAACTATTTTTAAGGACTTGGAAATGGGAAACAGGATTTTTTTTATGTCTCATTATTTCCAATAGCCTACTATTAGAAATAAAAATATACTGTTTTGGTACTGTTTTTTTTAAAATATATTAACAGAATAACAGAGTTGGAAGGGACCATGGAGATTTTCTAGTTCAGCCACCTGCTCAAGCAGGAGACCTATATCATTCCGGACAAATGGCTGGCCAATCTCTTCTTTAAAGCCTCCAGTGATAGAAACCCACCACGTCCAGAGGCAATCTGTTCCACTGGTTAATTGCTCTTACTGTCAGGAAATATCTCCTTAGTTCTAGGTTGCTTCTCTCCATGAAAAAACTTTGCTGGATTTAAGGAACAATAATGCTGGCCATTTCAGTGGCAAATTTCATGCTTAGTTTTATCTAAGGCTCAGAAAAATAGATTTAAGATGTTGAAAAATCTCAGGAGCCAGATGCTTTCTCTTTTGCTTATACTTAATAGATGGCCGATACTAAAAGATATAGATAAATTCCTTTTCAGCCCTCATCATTTACCATATGTACCAAACCCTGATGAAAGACAGAGGAAAGTACAAACCCCATGTTAATGTGACAAAGCTGTGATCTCTCCATAGTCTTTCTTGCCTGACTTTCTTCTAATTCAGTAGTATATATGCTGCTAAAATATGCATGTAAGTGAGCTGACATCTCCAGGCAGTGGGTACCAGGAAATCTATTATTCCATTTTTATACTTTATTTGAGAATGTATCTGCTGTATTTCCAAACACAATTTTTTTCAGAGGAATTTAAATGCACATCTAGGAGCTCAACATCAGCCTAGTTTTAAATACCGTAAAAACCAAAGAGATCATTGTCGATTTCAGAAAAGGAAGGCACAGCCATACTTCTCTGTGCATTAATGATTCACCTGTGGAGACGGTTACCAGCATCAAATTCCTGGGTGTGCAGCTAATAAGTAGGCTGGCTTGGTTGCTCAATAGTGAGAAACTGGTGAAGTGGGCTCAGCAGCGCCTGCATTTTCTGCATCGCATGAGAAAAGCACATCTTCCTTCCCCTGTCCTGACCACTTTCTACAGGGGGACGATCGAGAGCATCCTGTCATACAGCATCGCAGTCTGGTTTGGAAGCATCACTGCTTCAGACAGGAAGGCGGTGCAGAGAGTGGTGAGGATGGCCGGAAAGATCATTGGCAGCTCCTTCCCTCCCATCCAGGACATAGCACAGAAGCC